GACAACGTCGCAAAACTCTTCGAAAGATGTGCACGGTAAGAGTTCATCGCGGTACGTAGCCAATACACGTTCCGAGGCTTTTAACATGGCTTCGTCGTTGTGCCTGATGTACTCGGCCAAAACCGACGGCCACTGGTTGTCGGACAACACGTTAACTTTCTGCGATGAAAGAGAAGAAAGAATGACAAAGGAGGAAGAAAGGACGATGGGGAGAGAACTTGACTAGAAGAATATAAGAAAGGAAGAAGCGCGAGTTGAAAAAAGAATGCGTACCTTGAAAAAATTGGCATAAATACAATCGACTAGACCAAAGAAGATCAAGGCGCTTTTATATACGGCGTAATGCTTAACGGTAACATCGACGATAGCTTTTGTCGGGCCCGACGGTGAAACGTATCGTTGATGAGCAAGAACGATTAGTCTATTCAAGTGAGCGATCCTGTACGTTTTCCAACGAGCTGGCGTGTGAAGCAAAAGTGACATGGTACATTGGTAAAATGGTCCTTCCGCTTCGTAACAAGTATCAAGCCAGCTAGAACTTGGTGGCGTTTCCAAATATCCGATCAACGTTTTGTCCGCCCGAGCGTCTGCCAACGTACTAGAAATGGAAATACAGTTTTACTTACAGTTGGAACGAAACGCGACACGGGGGCGGGGGGATGAAAGTAAATAAGTAAATATAACAAGTAAAAGTTGACTCGTTGACTCGTTGACTCGTCGAGTCGTTGCATGCATCGTCAACGTACGTGTTGATGACGTAAAGCGCCGTGTGAATCAAATAAGGGATCAAGTGCATGTTGGACTGCGGACCGCCTCCTCCGCTATCCTCGTGGAAACTTTTCTCTTGAGCGAATCGTAGCAGCAGCAACTTGAAATCGTGAACGGTCGACGGATAAGATATATCCCGATGACTGGTGCATTCTTGCAAATAGGTATTGTGCCTTGCCAAACAACTGGCGAAAGCCGATTCCAATACTTGAGGACCCCACAGCGGCAACAGTCCGTTGCACTTTGTGTTTGCATTTTGCAACGCTGCACTTTCCCACTCGTCTCTGCCACGTGCCAGCCTCACCGCGGACATGTGACAGTCCACGTGGACGACGTTGAAGTGCGTGACGGTGCTGTAGCCGACCGTCTTTCTTTGTTTCGTTTCAAAGTCTTCGACGTTGCAACGTTTCGAAAAAGTGTAAATAGCCAGAACCTGAGAAGCAAACAAAAGAGAAAAAAAAAGAAATGAAAAAGAAAGAGAGTGTAAGGGGAAGGGGAAGGGGTAAGTGGGTAAGTGGGTAAGTAGGTGGAATAATAATACTATTCGGCTCGTTCACTACCATGTTTGGCTTGAATTTATATCCCTCGCGGCAGATTACACAGACCAATCCCGTCTCGTCTCCTAGATCTTCCATTTGTTGAAGGATCGCTCCGCTGGCGACCACTTGGCCCTTGTCGTTGGTTTGCATGCCCAACGCGCCCAACTGTCTCTCTCGCATCGCCATTGCCAGTCGTTTCTTCTCGCTACGGGTGTGCTGTCGGGCCTTCTCGATCAATTCGGCCACGCGTTTGTTCGTGCACAACGCTTCCAGCAAATTCTCCGCCAAAGAGCCGACGTGCTCGTCCGAGGACACCTGTTCCAATCGGTGAATGATGCTGATGGTAAATTGCGAGACAGCCAGCTGCGTTGGCTCGTGATCGGTCGCCAGCCCGGTCAAGAATCGCAAGATGTACTTGAGCGCCGGCTTCGATATATAGTCCTTCAATTCGTCGCTGTCGGTGCGCAAGAGGGTCGGTTTCAGGCAAGGGGCGCGCACGGTTATATACTCGAACGCGTCCTTCACGATGCCCATGCTGATTACGTAGTCTTTCAGGGTGTTGCCGATGGCGTTGCGCTCGATGGCTTGCGTGAGAATGCAGAACAGCTCGAGCTTTTGCTCGTCCTCCGGCGTGTGCTCGTGATCGAATTCGTAAAAGTCCAACACCGGCTTGAAGTAGTCGCAGAGCAGGGCCATCTTCTCACGGTTGCCGTAGGTGAGGGCGGCGAGTACGCGGGCAAGCTGTGGCAGCACGTTGCTCTGCCGGACGGCGGTGGAGGACTGAGCGCAGGAGAGGAGCGCTTTTATATGCTCCGGGCCGCTGGACGTGCGCGAGAAGGCCTCGAGAGTGGAGAGCGAGGCGTGCGTGAGGATCGTCTCCATGATCTCCAACAGCTGCTCGATCACCTTTGCCTGCCAGTTGCTGCTGCTCTCGGACTCCGGGCTAC